CTAGCACTTGAGTCAGTGCCTCATCTGTTAACACTTGTTCATAGAATTAAAGTGTGTGGAGTCTGACTGCCTTTATTTCAGTCCAGATTCTGCTACTTGTGTGCTGTGCAACCAACAGCACAGGTTGGTTATACCAACCAGAGGATAGGTTATACCTCCTCCTGACACCTCAGTTTTCCCATGTGTACAATAAGGATATTGGTACTTATTTCATAAGATTGTAGAAGTTTAAGTAAGATGATTCTTACAATGCACTCTGCATAATTCCCAGCACATTACTTTTTAACATTTGTTAATACTTCCTATAATACCATAAGGGCTTTGCGTCAATAAAGTAACACCACTCACAACAACCAAATGAAGTAGGAACTATGTTCTCTAATTTACATACAGAAAACCAAATGAAGTAGGAACTATGTTCTCTAATTTACATACAGAAAAACAGGTTCAGAGGAGCTATTCCATCCCAAGTCATACAACTAGTAAGTGGAAAATATATTTGCAATGTACAGTCTATGTTTTGACATATTATACACCTGTGAAACTGTCACCACAATCAAGTCATGAACATACCCATCGCCCCCCAAGAATTTCTTCACGTACCTCTTGTTGAAAAGTCTACCCTTTCTCCACGGAATTGCCTTTGCATCTTCATCAAATATCAATTAACTGTAGATATATGAATTAATTTTTCCACTGTATCCATTGACATCTGTCCATCTTGACATTGTTGCCCTTCTATTTTGATCATTGTAGCTTCATAAAATGTCCTGAAATTAGGTAATAGTTTCTCTGACTTTGTTCTCTTTCAAAGCTGTTTGGCTATTCTAAAGCCTTTGCACTTCTTTTTTTTTTTTTTAATTTTTATTTATTTATGATAGGCACACAGTGAGAGAGAGAGAGGCAGAGACACAGGCAGAGGGAGAAGCAGGCTCCATGCACCGGGAGCCCAATGTGGGATTCGATCCCGGGTCTCCAGAATCGCGCCCCGGGCCAAAGGCAGGCGCCAAACCACTGCACCACCCAGGGATCCCAGCCTTTGCACTTCTATATAAATTTTAGATCAGCCTCTTAATTTCTAAAATAAATAAATAAATAAATAAATAAATAAATAAATAAATAAATAAATAAAAAATAAAGCCTATTTTGAATCTATAGATCAATTCGGGGAAAAGTGACAACAATATTGAATCTCCCAGCCCAGGAATGTAGTATATTTCTCTATTTATTTATATATTCCTTAATTTCTCTTAGCAAAGCTCAGTTGTTCAGAGTACACAGATAGTGCTATTATTTTAATGACTCCTCCATGTCCATATTATTTCTCTACCTGAGTCTATCACAGAGGATCATATATTAACATTCCTCTTGTGTCCTCCCTATACTTCTGTTTTCTCATCTGTAAAGAGAGAACAGAAACATCTACCTCACGGTGTCAGACGCAAAACTGCACATGTAAATCAACTACCTTTTGTGGCTGTTGCACAATGCTACTGGTCTGCTGATAGGGCTAATACATCTTATTTCATAAAAAGACAAAGAGGAAAATAGAGGAATTATAAGGATGAGGCAACAATGTGTAGATTCAAAGCAAAAGACACCTGAACTGATAAGATAGAGACTAATGAAGGATCCAATGACCACAGCAGTAGGAACTGCTTGTGAATTAACCCCACGACTCAGATAACCAAACGAGGTGCTGCTGCGGCAGAAGCATTAATTCTCATGGCTCGACAGAGAACACATAGTTAGAAACTGCTGGGTGTACTTACATTAAGAGATTAGCTAGTGATGTTCCAGCTTTAGGAATGAGACTTTGAAAGGATTACAAAGTAATCCAGAGAAGGAGCGCCAATGTGCAGCAATGTACATCCTCTTTCCCGATAACTTTCTCCGTGCCCTGGTAAGAACTGGATAAAGCTGGCATGGCATGCTTTCCTATATCTGAGACTCTATTTATCTGGTGATGCAAGAAAGGCCACAACTGCCAGGAAAGAGGGTTCCATCTACCCAGAGTTGGCGCTCCACAGCAGAACAGGAAGCATAATACTAAGCGCATATAACCTACACTAACGTCTTAATTGACCCATCTTTTTCCAAGTGTAAATACACTTATAATTATTCCTAAAATGTTTTTTATTGATTAGTGGATGTCGGAGAGAAGATTCATTAACCAAGGTAACTAGCACTTGCTAGCACAACAAGTAAACCAGAAATCTTAGAGGCTTAGCACCACGAAGGTTAGTTGATATGTGTTGGGTATCCGTCCTTCATATCATAGCTGCGTTATCTCTCACTTGTGGCCTCCAAAGATGTCATACTAGGTCAAGGGTGCCATAGAATGCCATGGAGGAGTTACACTGGCTCTTAACTGCATCAGCTCAGAAGACCCACCCACAATCCATTGACGAGAACTAATCACATGGCCGGAGACTAACTCCAAAGGAAAGTAGGAAACATAGAGGAGCGAGCGCGTAGTGAGCAGTAACTATATTCCTGCAGATAAACCTAGTTCTTTCCCCCACTCCACGTCCTCTTCCCCTCCAGAAATGGTAAGAGAATAAAAAGATACTTTTTAAGCAAAGGGTCTGCTTTGAGGTGTGTTACATGGACAGGGGTAATAGAAAGATGGAAATCAGGTCATAGTGATGAGAGAGACTGCTCATATTTGTGGAAGGAATTTTGGAAGGCTATTCTCAATGACAGCATTTCTGTACCCAAAATTCACAACCCAAATGCTCTGGTGTGACAGGAGAGGCCACAACTTGCCACCACCTCCAATGATCCACTGAGTCCTTCCTGTCCCCACAATTCTGGGCTCTGCAGAGATAGAGGCCTTGACCCTAAAAGGGTACATTCTTGCCAGAGGACACATTAATGTGTCCCATTAAACCCTAAGTTCTGACTGTTGAGGACATGTTGGTCTCCTAGTGTCCTGGAATCACAGGCAAAAAGAACAGTCAGGATATTGTCTTATTATCTCTGTAGTTATATCCTCTTTTTCATTCCTGATATTTGTGATTTGTGTTCTATTTTTTTGTTCTTAATCAGTCTAGCTATAGGTCTGTCCATTTTATTGATCTTTTCAAGACCCATTTTACCTACGTATCCATATATTTAAAGTGCAACTCTTGTAACTAACATAGTTTTTCTAATGTTTGTTCTTTTAATTTCTGTTCTTATCTTAATTAGTTCCATCCTTTTGCTGAATTGCGATTCAACTTGCTCTAATATTGCTAGATTTCTAAGATAATAACTCAGGTTATCAATTTGGAATTTTCTTCTTTTATAACATAAGCCCTTAAAGATATAATTTTCCCATAATTACTGTTATGATAGTTGGATTAAAATCCATATATCTGCTAATTCCAACATCTGAGTAACCTCAGGATTGATCTACACCGATTATATTTTCTTTTGAGAAATATTAAGGGGTGCCTGGATGGCCCAGTGAGTTAAGCGTCCGACTCTTGGTTTCAGCTCAGGTTGTGATCTCAGGGTTGGGAGATCAAGCCCCACATCGGGCTCTGTGCTCATTGTAGAGGCTGCTTTAGACTCTCTCCCTCTTCCACTGCCCCCTCCCTCTCTCATGTTCTCTCTCCCAAATAAGTAAATCTTTTAAAAAAAATATCAAGAACCATATTCTTGCTCTTTGTATGTCAAGTAACTCTAGATAGTTATCCTGGACATTGTGAATTTTTTCTTGGGAGGACTCTGGGTGCTATTATACTTCTCCCAAAGAGTACGCTATTTTTGTTTTGGCAAAACCACAAAAAAAATCTTAAGTACTTTATATTTTGGGCAATAGTTCATATTTCAGTTCAATTTACTTACCTTTTACTGAGTTGCTTGTAGTGTGCCACATACATTCATGAGCCAGGGGCCAGGCAGAAATTTGGGAAGTTTATAGAATTTAGGGCTCCCTTCTCTGGCTGTCTCCTTATAGAGATTTCTTCAATGGCTGTGGTTGCTTTCAACTCTTTTCCTCTAAGTCTTTCTTTTTAAAGATGTACTTATTTATTTATTTGAGGGAGCAAGTGAGAGAGAGCACATGCACAAGCACGCTCAAGGGGGGAGGGGCAGAGGGCAAAAGCAGACTCCCCATTGAGCAGGAACCCTGAAGCAGGGTTCCATCCCAGGATCCCGAGATCATGACCTGAGACGAAGTCAGATGCTTAACCAACTGAGCCACTCAGGTGCCCCAAAATGATTTTTTAAATTATTTATTTATTTATTTGAGAGAGAGAGTGCAGAGGGGAAGGACATGGAAAGAAGGATAGAAAGTCCCAAGTGGACTCTGCACTAAGCATGGAGCCAGACTTCAGACTCAATCCCTCGACCCCGAGACCACAACGCATGACAAAACCAAGAGTCAGACACTCAACCAACTGGGCACCCCTATCTCTTTCCTCTAATTCTTCAGGTCAAAAATACTATGGACATTGCCTCCAGCCTATACGTCAACTAAAAACCATAAATAAGGAATGAATTTGTTGTCTTGTCCTCTCATCCAAGTGCCAACCACCCTCCACAATCTGTTTGCATTTATTCACTTTCCAGTGCTTTCAGGTAGGTGTTCTTTGTACTTTTCACCTGCCGTCAGTTTGGTAGCACATGTAGCCATCACAGGAGTGAAAATCAGTATGCATTTTTAAAATAACATTTAGGCATAAGACATTTAAGTGTGCAAGGTAATGTCTTATATTCATTTCTTTCATGACAAGAAGACTTAGAGGAGGAAAAGAGCACAAGACAGCTTAGAAGTGAAGAGTGAATGTCTCTAGAAAGGGAGAAAACACAGAAGGGGAGGAATAGCCATGAAGTCAACCTGACATTGAATTAGGGTTGACTAGGCCAAATCTGGCTAAAGTGATAAACAGTACTGGTTAACATATTTGGAAGGCCACGTGGCTGTGCTCAATACCTTCTACTTGCCCAGAGCTACTTTCCACTCTTCTGCACCTGCTCTCTGCCCCCAAAACCAACCTGTATGAGCCGTGGGCTTCATCAAGAGCCCCCTTCCCTGTGGCTCCCATTTGAATTCAGCCAGTAGTGAGTATCTGCAGGAGATCAAAGAGAGGGAAGATAAGTGAGGTCAGAAAAAAACTTTTTTCCACAGGATTTCCCAAGTAGGTTTTTGTGGGTAGATTGTATCCCTCCACCAAAGGCCACGGTTCCTGTCAGGAGGCTCTCTCCAAAGACTGGGTTCTGGTAAACACTCCTCTCCTGTCCCTCCAGACTCAGCGTCGGTAACGGCTGGGGTCCCATCACATCCATTGCTGCTTCTCCTAAATCCAGCGCACATCTTGGCTAATAGCTCCTTTGCTAAACTCTTCCCAGTGGGAGAGTGCACCATCTGTTTCCAGCCAGATCCCAGCAGATAGAGGATTCTCAGAAAAAAAGTGACTGTAACAGGTCCTTGGAAACAGAAGATGGTAAAGTACCAGCCCACATGCTGGTAAGCAGTGGAGGAGAATGCGACTGCCTCCAAAAACAGTAACTCATAAATTTCATTTATATGTATTATTATCATTATATTTAATGCTAATATTCTAGTTGAATAGGTATTGATACCATTGCTATTAAAGGTAAGAAAACTGTGATTTTTAAGGCAGAGTGGAGTCACTGGGATTCCTGACCTCCCTTGGACTACAAGTCCTACCAACTTCCCACTATACCCAGACCCTTCCTGTTCAGCCAACACATGCCACCAGTGCTGAAATTCAGAGCTCTCCAACCATCAGGGCCGGACATTAAAGTCTTTGAAGCCCAGGGAAGGGAGCGGTCATTCCAGCTTTGCTGTTTGTTAAAACCCAAATCCTGGGGAAATAGCACATTGCAAATTGAGCCAGTTTAGAGATCTAAGTTCATTGGTCAGAGACTCCTCTTATATTTATTTTTAAAAAACTGTAAAAGAAACTTCAATACAATATGGGGGTTGTCGCATGTACAACTCATCTAATGATGTCTCCCTACCATGAACCCATGGCTCCCCAGGAATTCCTAAATTTATGATAGTGAATTAAAGTCAGAAGAATAGACTAAGACCTCGGGCTCTGGAGGCAGATCAGAGGTCCTGGTACAAAACCTGCTAGTAGCTAGTAGCCTGCTAGCAAGCAGTATAACTTTTCTCATCCCCAGTTTTCTCTCATCTATAAAATGGAGATGATGATAATATCCGCATCATAATATTAAATAAGATTTAATGTATTTGTTTATTAAAAACTAATGCATTTTAGTGCTTAATGTGGGACCAGGCTTACTGTAATTGCTCAATAAAATGTAACTAATAATTACACCTAGGTACTAATTTACGGCAAAGATTCATTTTGCCGTAAGATGGCCCATAAATATTAAAAGAAAAATCCTTTTAGACACATATAAAAGACACAATTTGAAATTTACAAAGAAATTAAAAAAAAAGAACCAACACTTCTCCCACTTCCATTTTAATTAAAACGAAAGAGATTCTGGAAGTTTCTGGCCCTCCAAATAAGCCTATCATTCCCTAAAGTAAAAGCTGTCTACCACTAGTCATAAAATATAACAGAAAGTTGTGTGCTCAATTTATTTTATAGTTTCTTACTTATTGTTTTCCATTTCCTGTTTTACAGCTGTAAACTTCCCTTAAACTTTAGCTAAAAGTATTCTTGTCATTGAATCACCTAATTTCTTAGTATAGAGTCTGGATAGGAGGATGTTCCCCATCCCACTCCCCACCAATGAGCTGAAAAGGGCGTGTCGCTGTTTGGGCTATGCAGTTTGCCCTTGTTCATGGTTATAACCTTGACATTTGATGCAGGTGAGGTGCTCTAATGAACAATCTTGGATCAAGATTTTGACCATGGAAGGCATTCCGTAAGTATTTGGAAACGGATTTATTGACCAGAAATGGGAATGTTTTAATAGCATTTGTTCATCTTCCACATGGAGACCAGAGGATCCCCCCCTTTAAAGGTTTTTTGACCTTTGAAATCTTGTATCCTAGAATTGCACTAAGTGTGTGTGTGGGGGGGGGGGGCTCCAGTCTATCTTCCTCTTGGTAAGTGCAGGAACAAGGCCAAAATCACCGAGTCTGCCCTCCCTGTGCAAAGCTTCAGGGTAGCTTTCTCCCCAGCTGCTGGCTGTCAGCGCAGAAGCAGAGACTCCTTGGGGACATTATCCCACAGAGCTGGGTTCACGGCCAAAGTGTGGCCTGTTGCAGAATCAGAACCTAATAAATATCTCTCACACGCTCACAAATAGAAATGGCCACAAAAAATAAATTAATCTCATAATCCAACATTTGGTTGGTTTTTTGTTGTTGTTCGCTTCCTTCATAACCGGTTCCTGTTCTGAAAAACTAGAAGCAGGTTGCAGCAGTTGGGATTCGTTCCCTGAAGTACAGCGTCCATGCGGTTTGAACCCTGCACTTCACGCACCCAAATCTGAACCTCCACCTTCCTCCTCTTGGACATTCCAGCAAACACAGGTTTCTGCTGTGTGCAGATGGTCGATCAGACGGACCGCAAGACTCCACGACTCTAGATTTTGAACATTTGTGACAATTTGCGTCAATCGTAAACGGGTACCATCTAAGCCACAACGGTTTTAGGACTCTGAAATCTTGGATCAAATAAGTTTAGACAGCTCTATGGAGTTTAACTTAAAATATTATAATGACTTCAGTGATTCTGAAGACTTTGCTCTTTCCTTCATAGTACAACCAGCTGATAAGACAGACAGGACTCCTAGTATTGCTGATATGAAAGTTACTAAAAAAATAAATAAATAAATAAATAAATAAATAAATAAATAATAAATAAAATAAAAGTTACTAGACTGTTTGACAGACTGTCTTCAGCAAAAAACACTGTCAGTGACCCAAGATAGCACGTCACCGTGGCCACGATTACCTTAGGCGTTTCAACCACTGGTTAGGGCATCACTGAAGAATGGGAGGCACTGAGCTCAGTGGTGCTGCCTCAGGCTCGGGGACCCGCCAAGCCCCGCTGCCAGGAAGGCTGGCTGTCATGCAAAGTGGCTGGAAGGCAGGCTGCCTGTTGCGAAGTGGTGAGGCTGTGGTACCACGGGGCATGCTGCCCTGCCCACCACAATCCACGCACCAGCGGATGTCATAAGCGGGGCGCCAGCTTCCACTGCTGCGGGGCCTCCAACGGTGTCCAGCATCAGGCACACCCCGGGCCCTGGCCTCTGGGAGGTGGAGAGACCGGGGCGCTGCCTGCATCCTGGGGAGAGTCCCTCCGACTCTCGCAATACAGGAGGCTCTTGAGCCTCTGCTCCAGTGTGCCTCCAATGTGCACACACTAGAGATTGGAAAAATCAAAACCCCGCAGCAACGATAAGGGTCCTGAGAAGCAGCAGACTTCCTGAGTCTTGAAAAGAAAGGGGGTTGGAAGCTCTTTTCTCCCTGCCGCCTGTGTTTTCTTAGGCGCCGCCGAAGTCCAGGCCTGCCTCTCCCAGTCTCTCTGGTGAACGGAGGGCAGAAAGCTGCCGGAAAAGTAGGGCTGCGGGGCCAAGGAAGGATACAAAACCCTCAGAAAGAAGGTGTGTAATATTTTTGTTGAATCAAATCATGATTTTGTAAGGGGAAAAAAAAGACACACATAAAAGTCCATTTAATGTTTGGCAAAAAGGGAGAAAAAAAAAAAAAGAGCTTTCTGTGTTCAGTGCAAACTCACTTCAAGGGAGCTGAAGGTCAAATTACCAGCCTGTGACATGTGGAGATTGGCTGAGTGGGCTAACGGTAACTCAAGCTGCAATGCTCCTGGCCTGTTCCCGAGCCCATAAACTACACAGAAAATGATCCTGTTTGCTGAATTATTTTCAATTGCAACAGCTGCTATAACAACTCAGAAAAATTTAATATGTATATACAGGCCTGGTGAGTAACCACTTCAAAATATAAATTTGGGAGGTATGCGATTATAGATATATATATAAAAATATATATATATATAAAATATTGATATATAACATATATGAAAATACCAAATATATATGTATTCAGTATTAGCCCACAATAAAATGTCTCCCTATAAAACCTTCTTTAACCAAACCTACCCATAACAAACCGTAATACAGAGCTTCACGAACCCTTCCACTTCTACTCCTGGGAATCTTAAAGGATATCTCAAAAACAGTCTTCGATAAGCATGAAAGTCCTTTGGAATCACTACTTTGCAAGCTAGTCCACAATACACCCATGTTTAGCTCAGTTTAGTTTCCTTATTTTTTATTTAGGCATAACTGACATATAACATTATACGAGTTTCACATGTATATCATCATGATTCGATATTTGTATATATTGCAAAAACCATCGCCACGGAAAGTCTAGGTAACACGCGTAGTTAAAATTTTTTTTTTCTTGCGATGAGAACTTTTAAGGTCTACTTTCCTAGACTTGTGTTTATGTTAATATAAAAGTAACTTCCCTCAAATCTTAAAGTGAAATCCACACTTAAGGAAATTGCATTGTGTCCTGCCTGCGGCCTTGTGTTCCCTTGGACGAACCGCACGTACACCTGGGGCAGCTCTGGGCCAGCTTGCCCTCTGGCCCCAGGAGCGTGGGAGGGAAACCTGCTGCTGTCCTCCCGCGGAGCCGCTCCCACATCCAGGCCATTGGAAATTGCTCCTGCAGGTTTCCTGCTTGCTGCACTTTGCCTTTGTTATTATTGTTGTTTTCATGAGTATTGCAGTGGGAAGATGGAATTCCTAAAATGAAGCTTCTCCATTTGGGGTCACCCAGGAACTTAGGAGAGAGATGTAAACCTGTGATTTCCCTCATTACATGTGTTCGGGAAAACCAACCGTGAAGAGCAGGTGATCTGATAAGGAGGCCAGAGAAAGCACATGATCTCCGACCCTCACCTGATTATCTTGGTTAACATAGGCACGCCATTCCTTTCCCCCAACCACCATGTAGGCCCAAAGCCATTACCTGATTTGATAAAATAGACCCTAAGGAATATGTAAAATAGGATAATGATGATTGAAAGTGTTAAATTAAAAATGCAGGAAGCCAGATAATAATGTAAATAAAAATAATACTCAAATTATGAACAAAAATAAGAGATAAAAAAATTAAAAAATGAGAGATAATAAAGGTAGAAGAATTTTTCTGTCTGCGTTTGGTTCTGTTTGTATTTTCTCACCTTTATCAGGGAAGTTTCCTAATCTACAGGAAAGCTGAAGAATAGTAAAGTCAATACCTTTTTATCTTTTCTTTAGATTCAAGAATCATTGTCATTTTGTGAAACTTGCTTGACCCATCTCTCTCATGTATGGCCTAAGGGATAGTCGCCCCCAGGATATTCTCTGCCACAACCCTCTTACCATTATCACACCTAAGAAGATCAACAATTATTCCAGCCCATGTTCAAGTTTCCACAACTGTCCTAAGCATGCCTTTGCTAACTGTTTTGTTTTGTTTTGTTTTAGAACCAGCATCTAATCAAGGCTCACCAGTGACATATGGTTAATTCTTTTTGATATCTTTTATTTAATCTGGGACACACTCTCATTATTTTTCCCCTCCGTGATGTTGGCTCTTTCTTGCATTTGTCTAAATATATCCTCTTGCTATTGTCTAATTTTTTCTCGATCTCTTGTTTGAAAGGAAGAATTTTTAAAAGATGGATTAAAATATACAAATAATATTTGATTGAAGGCAGCAAAAAATAGTTATTAAATATAAGTAAGCAAGTAAAATACAAAAATTAGAGGAAAACAGAAAGTACTGGATAGTTGAGCTTAAGCTAGAAAAAATTTTAGCAATAAAACTTTAAGAATGATAAATTTGAGGGCACCTGGGTGGTACAGTCGGTTGAGCATCCAACTCTTGGTTTCTGCTCAGGTCGTGATCTCAGGGCGCTGAGATCAAGTCCCACTTCGGGCTCTGCACTCAGCGCACAGTCGACTTGAGATTCTCTCTGCCTCTTCCTCTGCCCCTCCTCTTTGCATGCATTCTCGCTCTAAAATACATAAATAAATGTTTTAAAAAATGATAAATTTGAAACTTAAGGTGCAAAACTGGGTAAAAATCAGAATTAAAATCTATTTTAATCAAAAGAAAATATTTGAATACACGTACATATATAAATGTGGAGTAACAATAGGTCCTAGAACGGTGATCAGTACGTAGTCATTGCTATGTAACTGTTTTCTATCATTATCATCATCATCGCCACAAAAAAAGATATTGAAAAATTAAACTTATGACAAGAAACCTGAAGTATAGGTGAAAAAAAAAAAAACAAAGAGAAGAGAACACTATACTGGGCAAGAATTCTAAAGGAAAAAATGAAGAGGGACTTAAATCATCATAACAAATCAGTCTTAATGCAAAAACACACTTAACAGTGTTTTAATTATATAAAAAGTTAGATATGTAGGAATATCATAGGGACAAAGCTACAGAGAGTAGAAGGTACATTTTAAAGGGGATCATTTGGGCAGAGAACCTGGAAAAGTTCTTCCCTGAGGAGAATGACATCATTAATGATGCCAAACAAAGATGTCCCCAAAACAGGAGCACAAAGCTGAAGGCTCTTAACCAAACCCAGATCTCTTAGAGTCCGAGGTCCTAGATTAAAGGCCAGTTTCCCAGACAATCTAGCAATGCTCCCCAACCTAGAAAACAGCAATTTGTGAGGAGATATCTTCATTGTTTTCTTATCTTTAAGACAATTAGTAAGATAAAACTATTGCTAAGATATCTTTAAATTCCAGAAGTCACTAAATATTCTGAGATTCATATTGCATTATTTACTCATTTATTCATTTCTTTAATTAGGTCTCCTGGTGTTCTTTTTTTTTTTTTTTTTAATTTATGATAGTCACACAGAGAGAGAGAGAGAGAGAGGCAGAGACACAGGCAGAGGGAGAAGCAGGCTCCATGCACCGGGAGCCCGACGTGGGACTCGATCCCGGGTCTCCAGGATCGCACCCTGGGCCAAAGGCAGGCGCCAAACCGCTGCGCCACCCAGGGATCCCAGTCTCCTGGTGTTCTATTGGTTATGCTCGGTCAGTCAGATTGGCTGATGTTTTAGGAATCTGTGCACGCTGTGTAAGTTCCAAAAGACTGCTTTCCTCTGTTTTTCCTCACCTGTGTGTGTTTATAACACCAAACGAGAAAAAAGACCTCTGCAATCTCCATTTTCAAATAGAGACTAACTAAATAAAAGACCCCTAAGTCAGTAATAACAGCTCAGTTTGACCACACAACTCACAAGTTTGTCTCCCAAAATGAGACAATGCAAGTGGCCTGGAAAATCACCCCAGGAATGTCAATTATATTTCAATTTATAAAGAAAAAAAAAAAGCTTTTGAGGAAGTGGTGGACAGGCCTAAGACTTGCACCAGTAGAGAGACAGCACTGCTGACAAATGACAGCAGCTGGGTTTCTTTGTTTATTATTATTATTATTATTATTATTAATTTTAGATTTTATTTATTTATTCATGAGAGACATAGAGAGGCAGAGACACAGACAGAGGGAAAAGCAGGCTCCCATCAGGACTCAATCCCAGGACCCCGGGATCATGACCTGAGCTGAAGGCAGACGCTCATCCGCTGAGCCACCCAGGCATCCCAACAGCAGCTGTTTTAAAGCAAAGGACACAGAGTCTATACGAACATTTTAGAAATGACAGAGATTGGGTCACTCACGAAGGTCTCCCACACTGGCGCAAACCCTGCACCACTCATCCACAATTGCAGACATGCCCGTGCTCAGGGCCCATTCCAGGTCCAAGAGAAGAAGGACATACATCCACACTTCTGCACACCCAGGGGCTGCTTGCCATAGCCAGATAGGCATTCTCTTGGCGAAAATGAAATTTGGAGGTCTAAAGCACTCAACTTTTTGAGGTTTTCCCAGTTATGTCCATGCACAGCAAAAGAAAATCTCTACAGAGATTCTGAAATTTCTTTCAAGTATAAAAGTATGGTGACCAGTCTCTTCTCTCCTACATGTGGTCATCTTTCTCCAACGATACCCACCCACCCCACAACACACACACGCACAGACCCCTCAACCTCTCAACATGCCTACCACTCTTCCTTCCTACGGCGTGGCCTTTGTCTCTCCATTGCTAACCTGTCAAGAAAGAGCCATCACAGAGCACAGGCTTTGGACACCAATCCATAAACTTGCAAGGCTGACCGCTTGTTTTAAAACAACAATAACAATCTTAAGTGAATTGGCCCTGGCTTCAAATTTTCCCAATTGCTTTTGTCCAGATATGATGGTTACCTGACAACAAAATCTCCTGGAAGAACAAAGTATTACAAGGGCAACGAAAAGAGCTGCACCACTGTTGCTGGCAGCAATGAGCAACATGCACTGAAATGAAAGAGGCTTTCGCTAAAGTTCCCCAGTGGAAGAGCACTGGTTGGAGAAGCAGCACGGGTCAGCTTTGCCAGTTGGAAATGCTCTGCAGCCCTCTACCCATCAGAGCTCTAGAATGGTCCCATCGCTACGTCAGATCATAACTGCTCTATCATACTTTCCCGATTTTCTATTTTTTTCTACCTGGGCCTGAAAGGCTCTGAGTGTTCTTAGGACTCTAAAACACTAAATTCTACATAGAGCCTGATCTCTGTGATCTTATTTGTTCATTTACTAAACAACACTATGCAGAGAAGTTTACCATCCATACTAGTTCTCTTGAACTTAAAATTTAAGCAGTTACACGAGGAATCACTGACGAGAAATATTTAACAGAATGTCCCAGTTGGACATGGATTTTTTTTGACTCATTTCTGTTCAACTTTAATAATCTCTGATTTGTACCATTCTATCATTGCTATGAAATCCATAAAAGACCGGTTTGTCTCCTTACTTAAGCTGAAAAATAAGAAACACTTGATTTGACAACTAAAGTAAAAGGGCCAGATTCTTTGAAAATTTTTTTTTCTTTCTTTTTTCTTTCTTTTCTAAGGAAAAGTGACTGTGAGCAATATCAGGAAAAGGTCACGGATGGTTATAAAAGTAATGTAATCATAAAAGTAGTACATGCAATGGGGGAAAACCCTTATTTTAAACAAAAAACAACTGCAGCTACAATTTTTAAAATATCTACCCACACATTTACTTTTTTGTTTGTTGATTATTTGTTCCCTCCACTTTTCTCATGTATCTCAGATGTCCCTCCTGGGACCATTTCTCTTCTTCCTGAAGTATATCCTCTGAAAGTTCTTTTAGGAAGGAACTTTTGATAGTGGATGTCTTTCAGCTTTTGTTTGAAACAGTCTTTATCTTCATTTGTGCAAATAGTTTCATTAGGTATAGAAATCTGTGGTTGATGCTTACTCTCACTCAGTATTTGCCTTCTAAAGGAGTAGCCTGAGTTAAGAACAGATGGTTCTTTAATTGAAGAAAATACTTTGTGGATTTTGATGGGCCTTTAGGACAAAAACAAGGCAGGCCTCTTGGGCTCAGTCTGGTTGTACTAAGACGAGTCCAAGAAAGATGAATTGCTCTGCATTATAAAGTGAGAATTTTGCATTTCTAAGGGTAGCCTTACAAAGGAAGCATATGCATCCAGAAATTAGGTAAAAGGGAAAGATTAAGAAAATCTAAAGAAAGAAACTCAAAAAACATAACAGAAAAGGAGTATGACCCAGTCAGTGAAATTAAGAATGACCAGTAAGTTTCTAGAAATTTCCTGTTAGTATAATTATGTGGTTAAGAATTGACCTTACGTACAAAGAGGTCTGTCTTTTTTGCCCTTTGGCTACTTGAAGGTGATCCATAAACCCCTGGATTGTCTTACATGTTAGGATATCTTTCTTTGCCCTGAGGCCTTGGGCCACTGACTGGTCTCACAATGTGACTTATAATGGAGGCTTTGGGCCATGTTATGTAAATCCCATGTTCAGAAAAATGGAGACTAAAGGTGTTAGCTTGAATCTCCAAGAGGGTCTGGACAGTACAGGTCAGTCACATGGACATTGTATGATCAAGCGCCTAAAAAAATTCTGGACACCAAAGACTGGTGAGCTTCCCTGGTCACCAATATTCTCAACACTGTCACACATCATGGGCAGGAGGAGGTAATGTCACCCATGACCCCAAGAGAGAAGGACAATTGGAAGTTCCACATCTGGACCTCTCCTTGACTCGGCCTTACATGTCTCTTTCATTGGTTAATATTAACTTGTATCCTCTCCCTGTAAAAACCATGAGTATAGTTTTCAGTGAGTTCTGGGACTCCTCCTAGCAAATTATCCAAACTGAGGGTAGTTTGGGGAAGCCCATGAACTTCTAGTTGGAATTAGAAATGAGGGCACTCCCTCAGACCCTGAAGTTTAGCAAACTCCACTGTAATTATCCTGCATTGCCCCAAAACTCTCAGGAAAATCTACTTCATGCAAACAGTCTTGTTTTAACAGCACTTTGGGGGAATTGAAAAGGGGTGAGACCCAGTATGGGAGGCAGCAGTGGGAAGATAAGAACTCTGCCCCAGGACGTACAAGACACCATGGCAGCTAGTGACAGCAGAGTCACAGGTCACAGCACAAGGACCCACTCTCAACCTCACAGAAAACCCTTCTTGGGAACCCTGGGTAAGGCTCCAATCTTTCTGCCATGCCTCATCCCTTTTTACGTAATTAGAGAGCAGTCTCTCGACCCTCCCATGCCACGCAGAAGAGCAGAGGTCTGGAAGGCTTCCAGGAAGTAGATTAAGTTGTAATGAAACCAGGCATAATAATATCTAAAAATTGCAAACCCCTGTTTTTGATGAGTCTTAAATTCCTAAATAAAATATATACAAATTTTTTAAATGTATGCAAAACATGCAGCATAATAGAGATTCAGTAGATGTTTTTTGAACAAGGGAAGAGCAAGTGAGTAAGTAAATGTATGAAAAATACAGTTTATTCTCAATGGCATGGACTACTTTGGTTAGAGAGAACATAAACAACTAAAACAGGTAATTCGCAAAAGCCCAACTACACAATTAATGGG